AATTAGAATTCATTTTTTAGCAGTCTTGCCCATAAATAGTGACTATTGGGCCAACATGTGCCACACCACACAGGAAAAAAACTGAATGTGACACAGATGTCTGTGCCACCCCCAAGTGAACACTGTGAACACTTGTTTTTTGTTTTTTTTTATGCTTTAAAACCTACATTTCATCAGCTCCGGTTCTTCCTGCACCACCAAACACCAGCAGATTTTAAAATGCATGACCCGCCATCAATCGGAAAAAATGTCTTTATTCTTGTAGTGATTAAAATCTTCAAACGGCTCCTTACAGATGAGTTTTGTTTTTCCACATTGAGAGATCCAACAGTTGATAGGAGTCAGGGCAACTCTAAAATGACATACAGTAAATAAACACAGGAGCTTTTAAAAGAATGGTAGGAATGTTAAGTCCACTCCTTGGACTTACGAACTACATGAAAGAATGACGACTTAAGGCGATGATTTTCATTCCAATATAAATGAATAAAACTCCTCACTCAGCAGTTTCTTTTTTTCAAATAAGGGATAACATCAAACTCTCTGCAAGCTAAAAAAGCCGGGACTGAAAAGGCTTGTTATATAAAAGTAAAAAAATATAAAAAGACCTCTGCCTATTAGGTCAAGCCCAGCCATGCTTGAATAGAATGACTGTGAAAAGTCAACATTTTTCTGGTCCTGCCCATGTGATGTGGTGTGAGAGGCATGCTCAAAGGAATGCCAATGCAGTGAGGGTTTCCCTTGTATCACTGCCGTGGCTCTGTGTGGTTTAGGGGAAAACAAACCCAATGACGCAAAGTGCCATCTGTGGGGTAGAGAGCGAGCGACAATACACGCCCCACAGGGGAATAACAAGTGCCTGCTGCTAATAATAAGCTGTATCAGAGAAAAAACCGGAGAAAGCGGGAGTAATCACCTGTGACATTTCCATATAAGCAAATGTCAGATTTGCTGCTGAACAACAAACGCAATCTGCCTGGTAGTTTTTATACTTATTTCAGGCCAGTGTGTTTGCTCTTCTTTGAGATGCATTTGAGTGATGTGTGTGTGGAAGAAATTAGAGATGCGCTGATAATTTTGTATGTTAATGTCGCAGTTACTGATACACAGTGAGTGTTGTATGGTTTTTCTTTGAGTGTATGTAGAGGAAAGAGAAAACCAAGTCAAGAGTAATATTACTATTGTAAAGCTGCAAATAATCATTTCCATTATTAATTATTCTGCTGATTATTTTCTTCCTTGCTCCTCCAGTGTCAGAAAATATTGAAAAATGTCCTTCTATGTTTCCTAGAGTCCAAGGTGGCATCTTTAAACGTCTTATTTTGCCCAAGCAATTATCCAAAACCCAAATATATTCAGTTTACGACGATAAAAACAGAGAAAAGCAGTAAATCATCATGTTAGAGAAGCTTCAAACAGACAACGGTTAGTGGTTTTCCTCGAATAATAACCTAAATGATAAATAGATTATTGTAATACTAATAACTGATCAATGAATTGACTAATTGTTGTGTTGCTAAGGCAGCTCTAATTAGCCAGAGTGAAAACAAGATCGCAAAACATTATCACTGTGATGACTGTCGTATCAGACTGCATTAGCTTTAGCTGGGTGTACCTAATAAACTGGCAACTGAGAGTGTTTTACTACATTACATATTGTAGTGCTTCTTAAGTTCATAGAAGGTGATGAAAACAGAGTACAGCATTGGCGTACGTCTGCGTTTAATAGATGAAATTGGTAGTGATTGTTATCGGCTTGGCACCAGCTGAACTAATTAGTCAATTAACTTGCAGGAAAATTATCAATTATAATTTGATCATTTGGTTAATTGTTATAAGCTGTTTACCAGTCATGCAGGGACATTGAAAGGAGATTTTGAGATTCAAAAACGCCTTTCCTGGCAGAATATGTTCATGATACTCCAAATATAAAAGTCCTATTTTGGAGGTTTTACCTGTAGTGGGGGCCAAAAAAAAAAAAAAAGTAAAGCTGACTTGATGGTGGCATTGTAGAGAACGTCATGGCTCATAAAAAAATCAAATCCCCTTAGTAGCATAATTCTCGTTGGCAAATTTCATGGCAATCTGCCCACAAGGTTCTGAGAAATCAAATACTCGGAGCATGAATTAACAAATGAAATTCTGTGCAATATGCTTGTTAAACCTTTTACAGATTAAAAAAACACTAAATATCTTTTGGGTTACTGTGTCTAAAATCCAAAGATTTTATTGCTTTTCTCTGCTTCTCATCAGCGTAATTGAAATAATAAATTCTAAGACTCTGTGTTCCTGGAACATGGGAGGGCATTTACTGTTCTCTTTGACAATAATCAATAATGGAAATCCCAGTTAGTTGCAGCTATAATCTCTCGCATCTGGATGAACAAACACAAAAAAATAATCACCCACAACACTTCCACAGAAAAATCCAACCTCCGCTCAAGAGTTTTTCTGGGAAATGCAGTGGGAAAAGAAAGAACATCACAACAATGACTGATTTACACTAAAGATGTCACCTAAATAAAAACCCAGACACATCAACCAGCTTCCTGGTCTGCCACCCACACACAAGTAACACACAATGCCCCCATCCCCTGTGTCTCAAGTAATCAAGACAGCGGGCCAGAGAGGTTATTTTTAGGGCTTTATCTCCCCATCTCGCTGCTCATTGTTTTCCATATTTCTGCACTGATACAAGTATAAACAGTAAACATCTTTGAGTGCTCTGCTGCTGCCCCAGGGAGAGAGAGAAAAAGCTACAGGATGGAGGCTGGTGATTCATGAATACTTTTGTGTCATTTCATGCACTGATCAGTAATTGATGTGTGGCACTGAATTAAGACAACATGATGCTGCAAGGACTTTTTTTTTTTTTTTTTTGCACATCTAGATGAGTCAGTGGAAGCACGCAGAGAATGACAACTCTCCTGCGGAGTCAACTCTCCCCCTCAGGTTACAGTATTAAATATTCACTGCCGTACTTTTGCATAATTTACCTTGTCAACATACCAAGGAAATGACTTGGAGAAAAAAAAAAAAAGGGGTGAATGCTCTCAGTTTGAGGACAGGAACTCGGCGGCTCAGCAGAAATCCAGGGCATTTTAAACAAACTCCTCTTCAGGCAAAGTGATGCCAAAGGCAGTTTTGCATCTCAAGGAGGCTCTTTTGGGTCCCTGCATGTCTACGCAGGGATCAAACAGGGTAGTGAATTTTATATAACAGACACTAATCTAACAGCACTCATGACTGTAGGCTGGATGTCTGCTGCTTGTGTTCTGCCACAACCTGCGTCTGATGGGTGTATCCCAGTTTGAGTAACCCGACCGGCTGATTATCCTCTCCGAGATGTTTCAGGAGCATCTTGCCTTTTTGTCTAAACACTGAAGAGCATGATGCTCGTTCTTTGGTGCCAGTATAATGGTCTTCCTTGTCATGTGATCTCTGTGCAAAAATTCCAGAGCGGCTACTGAAGCCCAGCGCACATGGCGGCCCTCTCTAACAGATGTTTTTCGTTTGTGCTGCTGCAGTCTCTCGGCTCTGAGGCACAGAGCCAGAGAGGTGATTCACGATGTGAGCCTTTTCCTTGTTACAGTCAGCAGACACAAAGTGTGCCCCGGGTTCACAGTAAACACGGCCCTGGCTCTGTTTTGTTGGATTTTCTATTGCTACAATATAATAAACTTGTAAAGGACTGAAGTTAAAAGTGATGGATAGCACAGATTGTGAGCTGTTATTGTGTTGAAGAGAGGACTAGGCTTATGTTTTTCCTCCTTTAAACAAACCATCTGTGGTTACTGTCCTGCTAATGTTAATATTTGCATATGAGCTGTGCAATTATTTAGCTACAAATAATCCCCATTAATTGCTTTAGAATGAAAATGAGCAATAAATTTGTTGGGTAATGTTTCAGCTTTAAATGACAGATTACACCTATAACTGTGAGTCTGAGGTCATTCATGTCTTCGGCTAAATGTGTTTTAAAGTAGGAAATGAGGTCATGCTTTGGCATTAATGTACAACAGCGAAAGTGTGTTTGATGCTCTATTCAATCATGGCAGGAAGGATGCCAGTGGAGGGTAAGGGGAAGTGGGAAACACACACTTACACCCAAACATATCAGAACCCACCTCCCTGACCTTATTACAATCCTCCTACATAATCAAAGGTGACACAGCATCATCATAGAGTGCGACTCTGGGTGTGTTCCTGCACAATTTTTCACTGCTTTGAGAAGAAATCTATCATTTTTAAATGCACTCTGGCCTGTGTGAGAGGAGGGAATCTCTGTAATCTTGAAATAGTTCAATCCAGATCTGACTGCCAGTGACCAGAAGAGGTTTTTCTCTCTCTGTCTAACACACACACACACACACACACACACACTGCTACAGCCTGGCAGCATGCTCTGAAGCTGTGAGTTATGTAATAGTGAACACAGAGAGCTCCAGGCCTGAGTGCACATCCTCCTATTCCCTGCACTCTTCCACCAAAGCCATCCACCCCCCCACCCCCACCCCCTCTCTATTATATTATTCTACATCTCTGGCAAGAAAGAGCAGCAGCAAACACACAAGATGAGGGTTCACCTTCACCACTCGCTGGCTCTGCATAACCAGTCCCCACAGAGAGGGGAAATGTCCATTTTTGCATCAGATGAGGAACTAAAATAGGTGTGCAAGATCAGAAATAACAGACACTGCAGCTCAACAGGTGCAATTACAGAAAGATATACAACATAATAATGCTTTTGGGCTTCTATGCTGTCAAACATCACCAGTTGAATTTAAGGTTGACTGCATGTAACCTTGACTGTACTTAAACGCCATCCCACCATCAAAACCTGGTGTGTTTTCATTAAAATATACATCTTTATATTATAATCTACTCCGTTTGGTTCTGTTGTTTAATTAGCCATCTTGAATCATCCATCCATTCATCCATCCATCCATCCGTCATCCATCCATCCATCATTCACAGGCAGGCTGACACCGTGGCCTTACCTCCTCCAGCACATTCACTGTGTTCCTGCAGCTCTGCAGTCGGGTGGTGAAGCTGGATGTTGTCGGGGAATTGTAATCCTCTGTTGTCTCCGAGAGAAACTCGGACACCGATATTTGATCCGGCATCCTTTAACGGGGGGGAAAATGCCCACTGGAGGGTTTTGGCGATGAAAGCTCAGAAAGACAAAACCATGTAAGATTTAAAAATAGAAAGAAAGCAGGGGGAGTCTGGTGGACGGGAGAGTCGATTTTCCACGCAGAACTGTGTAAAACTATCGAGATGATTAAGACGTGTCTTCTTCTCCGGTGACTTCTCAAATGACTTCACTGTTCCCCAGGGTCCATGGGAGGAGGGAATTAACTAAATATCTGCAGGCTGTGTCCCGTCGGTGTGCCTATTCCTTGAGAGAATGTCTAAAAGCGACGCATTTATAAATACTGTCACTCTGCGTCTAACTAAACCTCGGAGGAAAAACCACCGTAAAGAATAGCGGATGCCCTCATTATGCTCTACAGATGTTCAATAAACCGCTTGTCGTCAAAACAGCCCACCGTTACCAGCCTCTGGTTAAAATTTATCATAGTCCATGGTATGCCGAGGTCGTCTCACGCTGCAGCGGGGTTTGGTCCTCTCTTCTTCAGCCGTAGTTGATGTTTTTTAATGCTAAACGCTGCCGCAGACACATTCGCTGCCACTCTCTCCTGCTCGGCCGCGCTCAGGCTCCTCAGAGACGCTGTCAAGCTAGCTGGAAGGGAAACATGATTTCCGGTCATGGTTTTCAATATAAAATCCCAGGTTGACTATTTGCAAATACCCAAATAAATGTTGGAATGAATTATGTTTTGAGAAGTGGTAAATAAAAATGTCAATGACTATGTGCCCCAGAATGTCATTTCTCACAATTTCAAATTTAAATAAAAAATTGCTTCCAGCTTTTTTCACGTTTTGTTAGTTCCCCAGTATGTTCTGGTTAAAGGAAAAGAATTTTAAAATTACATTTAATTAGGGAAAGATTCAATTTTTTAAAAATACGTTTGGGTTATTAATCTGAATCTTCAAAGTAACTAAGGTTATACAATTGATGTAGTGGATTAAAAAGTACAATGTTCCTCTCTGAAATGTAGCCTAGTGAAATAGATGTATAAAGTAGTATAAAATCAAGAGATGAGGTGCAGTTTTATGCTGTCTGATTATCTTGGACGGTGAAAGAGCCCAATTTGTGTTACTAGCCAGTTTCAAACGTGTGTATGTTTTGTAAATTAATTGTTATACAACTGCAATTCGTTGTTTATGAGATTAAAAATTAAACTTTAGCAGCTATATAAAGCTTCATCATAAAGCATACAAATACTTGCGGTACATATGTTTTTGCAACAAAAGCAGAAAGCTCGTGCCACAATAGAATTTTATGATTTTATTTTGAAAACAAAATTATCCGTTTTCCGGTGTTTTATATCTGTTGATGGTAACTCGACGCAAACCTCTCCCACCCACCTAGCCTGGTTGACGGGAACGAGGAGCCATTCTGCGCATGCGCGATATGGTATCGGTGACTGCAGAGAGAGCGGTTTGACTGTGTGCCTGATACAGAAAACAACGATTTACAGAAAAAACCAACAGTCGTGTGTCATTTATTTCACTTTAAGCTACATTTTTTTTGGGATATTTACAGTTCTCAGTATTATTTGAAGACCACGAGCCCATCTAAATATTGTCAGTTGGAAATAGCTGGTTTGAAAAGCTACTAAATTAAACATAACGGTGCTTTTAAACGCTATCGGTTGAACGTCGTCCATTGGCCTTGTTGATTTTAACGTAACTCAAAACTTTGAGAATCACTGTCTTAACAAACAATTTAGCAAAAAATTTCTCAGTTTTATGTTCTTATACTATGTGTCCCTGTTTTCAATTAGGTCAACAGTCAGTAACAGCTATCCAAATGAATCATGATGTACTGTTTCTGATCATTAATTTCATTTCCCCACGGTTTTCACACCCATGGTTTGATTAAAACAGAGCAGCTGGTTGTAATGAGTTCATACCAGTGTTACCTAATGTCAGAGGTGAGTTCCTCTTCTAACTCTGTTGACTGTGACTTGGAGAAAAGAATCAGTATTACAATAGGTTTACTGGGAATTGAGTGAGTGGTAATATATTAATGTCATATAGGTGTCCAAAGAAACATTTTATGAGTTTACAAAGTCTGTCATTGTCACCAGATTGAATATAAATTGGCTTTTGGGGCTCTGAAATTACAGGCTCTCATGTTTCTGGCTCTGATGGCGCGTGTATGGTGTAGCTATGTGAGCTCTCAAAAGGATCAGTTCAACTATTTCCAACTTATTTTAACTTCTTTCCCCCCTTGGGAATCAGTTTTAAATACGTATAATCCAATCTGTGTATGAGTGGTGAAAAGTAACTGAGAACATTTGACGTACTTTCAGTTTTATCTTATACTTCTACTACAAGGAAATTGTTGTACTTTTTAACTCCACTACATTTATCTGGCAGATGTAGTTACTTGTTACTTTTCAGATATATGACTTCACATTGAACAACCTCATGAAATACAATGCGTAGTTAGAGTAAACCAGTGTTTCCCAGCCTTTCTATGCCTTCAGATGTCTTTGAGTTATAAACACTTTCACCCCATTAGCACTTTTCCCCATGATACTTTTCAGATGGTCTCACTTAGATAATTGTTCAAGACCCAAAACTGGTAAAATTATCATTTTTTTTCTCCATAAAGAGAGAAAGAAAAGAAAAAAGTCCAAAAATTGAACACAAACTTGTGTATCAGAACTTTTTTTTGCTTCTCTCGTCTCCATTAATCAAAAGTATTCAGACCTGTTTTTGTGGCACGCCACACTGTGGTCAGGTGCATCCTCTTTGTGTTAATTATACTTGAAATGTGTCTAGATCCTGACTGGAGTCCACCTGTGGCAAATTAAACTGATTGGACATATTTAGAAAGGCACACACAAGACATGAAGTCCAAAGAACTCAACTTAGAGATCTGTGATACAGTTGTGTTGAGTCCTGGATCAGAAAACCATTTCTAATGCTTTGAGTTCTTCCCAGGAGCACAGTGGCCTCCATAACTGTGAAATGGAGGAAGAAGGTTGTAACCACTGGGACTCTTGGAGTTGGCCATAAAACCAAACTGAGTAACCAGGTAAGAAGGGAGGTGATGGGAAGACAGGGAGAATTGAGGGAAGGATGAAATGAACCTATACAGACAAGTCCTTCATCCAAGACTGAGGCGTCCTTTAGCAAGGCCCCCAGCCCGCAACTGCTCACAGCTGCTCACTGCTCCTAGTGTGTGTGTGGTCAGTACTTAAGGATGAGTTAAATGCAGAGGTCAAATTTCCTGTGTGTAAAACATACTTGGACAAAAAAGGGTTCTTCTTTTTCTTTTCTAAAAAAAAAAAAAAAAAAGACAACCAAGGAGTGGCTTCGGGACAAGTCTCTGAATGTCCTTCAGTGGCAAAGCCAAAGCCCTGACATAAACCGAATAAAACATCTGTGGAAAGACCTGAAGATTGCATTTCAGGCATTTCTGATAGAGTTAGAAAGGATCTGCCATATAAGCCAAAAACGAATTGGAATTTTGCCACAAAATAATATCAGCTTATTTCCTTTTTGAAACCAACTTCACAGCCGTCTGTCATATCTACAAAACTCTTAGAGACAACGAGCCTCATTCTCAAACCAGAGGCCATGAACAAGCTTGTTCAGGTGGCCGAAACTATACAGAAACAGCATATAAACATTAAATTAATGGTTTACAACACACTAATGTAGCTTGTAAGTAAGTGTTTGTTGTGAATTTGTCAATATCTCCTCCTGTGGACACCCATAAGTAGAAGCTGCTGTAACAGATAATGAATGACAATATAATGAAACACAGGTTTAATAATACACACTGTCCAAGTTATATTACTGAACAATACTACACTTTAATAAAGACTTTAAAATGCTGACAACTATGTTATAGTGTGTTATAAACCATTTCTTAAATGTTTATATGCTGTTTCTGTATAGTTGTGTGCACAAAGTCACAAAGTGTTACAGAAAACATTATTTTTCCTTAGGAAAACCTCTTGATTTTCTGTAGTACAAACCCAAGCATGAAGCGCCACCTTGTGGTCATGCTGCTTTTTTTTTTCATTTTATTTTGCGTAGAGGTTATGTTTTTGTTTTGTTTGTTTGTTTTTTACCCAGACATCCTTGAGGGGGTTCTTAGAGGACCTCTAATATAATCTAATTTAATTTCACTACTATACTTATTTATTGTCAATGGTTGTCATTGACCAAACCATCTAAATTAATAATGTCAATGGATGGGAGAGGTATAGGCTGATAGGCCATCGTTTATATGTGAGTTAACTGTATATGGGGCCTTTTTATTTTAGAAAAAAATTAGTGGAATAAGTACCTGCCAGTAAGCGGTTTATTTTGAAAATCATAACGGGAAGTCCCGGTTTAATTCACGTTAGCTTTATCTTTTGTGCTAGCCTTTTGCTAGCTAGTACTGATTAGGTGAGCTGAAGAGATAGTTGGAGTTTGTTGGTGCTTTTTAAAGAGTCCGTCTCATTTGTAACAAACAGGGCACAGGTGAAAAGGTGAATATTGTCGCTGGGTACCTGGATACACGTGTCATTTCTCGGAAACAGTCCGTTGTCCTCAAACTTGCTGCGTGAAAGAAGCAACAACCACGGTTTAAACTGAATGGCTGAGGGCTCCTCGGGTAAATAACATGCTCTCTAAATATTTTTTCTAACTTTGACAACTTCAGTGGTTAAAACAAATTCATAATATTAAGACTGAACTGAATTAGTTTGACTGCGCACTTAAGCTTGTTTGCTAACGTTTTACACGTTTTGTTTGTGGTAATTTGCACAGCTAAGGTTAGCTTCTATGAACTTTCAGCTAACCTAAGAGAAGCTAGCAGCTGATTTATTATTCACGTTTAGCTAAAGGTTGCTAATGTTAGCTTAGCATCTCAGTGTGATCATGCTGTTCGTAGCTGACGTGATGACATGTGACAGTGAACTTTGCAAGCCAGGACCAAGAGCTGTGTCACTAGTAACAAGCCTGTCTAGCCGTAGTAGTATCAGTGTTTTAATAGATTTTTACACATGAAATGTGTGTATTGATGAATATTAAATTATTACCAGTTACTTAACAGCTGTAGCATAACTGCGGGCTACAAAAAAAACCCCAATATGTGTAGCTCTTAAAGCAGAAGTTAATTCTCATAAGATTAATAGCTAATAGATTACGGTTTGGAGGCCTTGTGAAATTCATAACAATTAGGTACCATAAGCACGAACATTTGCTGGTGTCTGCTCATGTCTCCCACACCATTTTTAGTTAAATAACTGTTATTAATATTGTGATGAAGATGACATACTTCTGAGGTCTGGTAACTTGTTTGTTCTTATCTTTGTCATCGTCACTGTGTACTTTATATACTCCTATCTTCACAAAGGCTAGTAATTGTAGTCTCTATTCATAGTGTCTACCCATATCAGCCAATTCTTGTAAATCTCCACTTTTTGGTTACTAATTAATCTATTCCCTTGGTGTAATTAACATATCTCTCATGATCTGATTAAGAGACATAGTAACTGACAGATCAATTCTGATGAAAATAACTCTCAGGGTCCTACTGATAAATTGGCGGCTGATATTAGCTCACTGCAGATGTGTCAGCTGACAAGAAATTGATATACAAAAATGCCAAACGTAAGACAGCATCTTCAATCTATGGTTTGTCTGCCAGAGGGCAGTGATGTTATGAAGTATATTATTCAGTGTCTTATCCCTCTAAAAAAGGAAGGAACAAATGTTAGGAAACGTTATGAAACTGTTTTATATTATTCATTATGTGATATTGGTCATGTGATATTGATATTGGCTGATGTCATTATCTGAATTTTTTTTTTTTTTTTTTTAATTATAAATCTTAAAATATCAATATTGGCATCAGCCTCAAAAATGTTGTATCTGCCAGGCAAAAGTAACTTATTTTTTTATGCTTGGTCATAATGATGTCTGAAATCACTCTTAGAGTCTAGAGGTTTTACCGTCCCCCACTGTTTACTACTGTATATTTACTGTTGCTGTATTTGGTTGTGATTGTTGCACACACACAGATTCAGGCTTTTAAGACTGTCACTTTTTCTGTTTGCAGACCCACCTGACCTCAATCCAAATGGGGCGTCACATGAAAAACCACATCAGCACAAATCCAGAAGAGGTCGGCCCAGACACAACAATGACAGGAACCTGAGCAGTAATAGTTATGATCCTTCTCAACAATATGGACACTTTCATCAGAGCTCTAACCCACCATTTAGCCATAATAATTCAACTTATGCAGAGCATCAGCATCCTCCCTACCAAGGAGAAGATGGAGCCAGAAGGCGAGGTAGAGGGAGGAGAGAAGGGAATAGAAGTGTGAATGGGAGTTTTGGTGGCTCCAGCTTCTGGTGGCAAAGACCTGGAAGTGACAATGGCCCGTACAGTGGCAGTAACAGGGGTGTGGGTGGCTACCACTCAGGTGCACATCCCATGGATGGACCTGATAGGGCAAACTGGCGAAGAGATGATGTAAGCAGAAATTTGGAACAAACCAGTGAAGACCAGGATGCCCGGGCGAAAAAACCCAGGAAGTTTAGCCAGGAGCAGAGGAGAAGAGAACATAACAAGAAGGGCACCCACTTAAAGGAGAACAACACTTCAGTAGAGCATGAGAGGTCAGATGACACTAAAGGAGAAAACCACTCTTCAGAAAACAGAGAGAAAACTCAGAGGAGCAGGGCAGGTCCAGACTCTCAACATGATGATCATCAGAGGAAACACCCTGAGGTGAAGCGACGGCAGGGACCAATCAAACCACCCAAACCACCATCTCAAGAGGAGACAGGCTCAGAGAGGGGAGCCAGTGGCCAAGATCACTTCAGACACAGCAGATCGTCTCAGGATCCACCCAGTAAAGCTGGGGGAGGTTCAGGACGAACACAACTCCAGGGCAGAGGGGGGAGACGAACACACCATCAAAACCCCAGACCTGCTCAGAGGACCTGGGACAAGATGCCAGAGAGCAAGGAGACACAGACAGGTTAGACTGAAAGTCCTTGTGAACTCTTGTGTAGAGACTAAAGAGTTGGTATTAATTGAAAAAAATTACCAACTCCCCGCCTGTATTAGTACAGAATATCATGGTAAACCTACCAGCTGTTGTAATTTATTGTATTTACCCATCTACCTTATCACTTGAACCTCAGGGCTCCTGATTCTGCCCTGAATATTCTCAATAAATCAGTGTTCAGTTAAACATAAATCACTGCTGACATATTTTCTATTCAGTTACGAGCTTGTTCCAGCTCTGTTTCCTCAAGTGAAACATGTAGCTTCATCCATTATAATAACGTAGATGGCTTGTGCATCATTCTATACACCACCTTGTAATTTAGCATAATATATTTGGTATCTTTGGAAACACAGAATAAGGGTCAATGGGCGTGAACAGGGTTTATCAGTACATGATCGTTCTCTGATTGAGCTGCCAAAAAGGGTCCTTTTAGGTTAAAGAGGTTAATTGTGGGTTATTTGTCTGAAGCTCTGCTGTCTTCTGAACCTCTGATCTCTTCTCTCCACAGGGTGTCTAATTGAGCAGCTCTCCGAAGAGAAGTACGAGTGTATGGTGTGCTGCGATATCATCCGGCTCATGGCCCCGGTGTGGAGCTGCCAGAGCTGCTTCCACGTCTTCCACCTGAACTGCATCAAAAAGTGGGCTCGATCTCCAGCATCTCAGGCAGACGGTATTACCTTTTCTTTTTTTTAAAACAACATCTGATCAGTTTATGCAGCACTGACCTAGACTTTGGTTATTGTGGACCTCTCTGGAGGGCTACAAAACAATGGGTCTGCATAGCATAATGCTCTGTAATGCTATGTAGACAACATCGGGTACATGTGCCGTACAAAGGTGGCCATTGTGGCCCTGTTGACAAAACATTGCATCTGCATTTCTGCTGCTTCAACAGTGCATAGTGCTGCACAACACTACACTAAATGTTAAGTTTATATAAACATTATATTTCTGATGCTGTTTTTCAGATTCAACTGAAGGTTGGCGTTGTCCAGCCTGCCAGCATGTTGTACTGAAAAACCCGACTTCCTACACCTGCTTCTGTGGTGAGTGACAGTTTCATCCATGCAATGAAATACATCTTAAAATAGAAAGCTATTTGTCAGGTTAGAAAATGTAATCAAAATTTAATCATGTACTATTTATTGTCTGTCCTATAAGATTTCTAAAAACCCATCAGTCACTGGGTGAAACAAGGACATCATTCATTTTATTCCACATTTGATTGGCAGGTAAAGTGACAAACCCGGAGTGGCAGCGCACTGAGATTCCTCACAGCTGTGGTGACATGTGTGGAAAGAAAAGAAGCGGAGTGGATTGCAATCACCCCTGTAACATGTGAGCCTGAAAGATCACAAGAATATAGTGTTTAGACAATGTCTTGTCTTGTCTCTGTATTTTCAAGTAATGCTGGAGCTCTTAAAAGAGGACATGGCTTTTTTTCAGAGGTCAATGGCCAAATAATAAAACACCACACAGTGATGCCAGTTTAGTCACTTTGATAGTTGTAAAGCTGCAGTTTTGAGGTGTGTGTGTGTGTGTGTCATCATTTGTGAACATCTCTGGGTTCATCTGCTGGTACTGTTTTAAAGATAAGCTGTATTTGAAAATGATTTTTTTTATCCTTAAGAATTTTGTACAAATTTGGCTTCACTTGTTTAATAGATCCACATGAAAATATATATGTTTTTAAAAAGTCACTGTAACTTTAAATGTCATTAACCAAACACACAGGTTTACAGGAGAGCAGTATTTGTCTTAATCAATACTTTCCTTATTATTCTTCAGCTTGTGTCACCCTGGACCTTGTCCACAATGTCCTGCCTTTGTAACAAAATCCTGCACATGTGGGAAGACCAGGTACTTAACCTTTTTTCACTACCATTTCTTTGACCTCTTGTGTTTTTAGCGAGGTTAACCCTAGAGTTTGATTCCTCAAACGTCTCCTTGTTACTTGGAGTTTTGTCACCTTAATATTGAACCATCTCTTTTCTAGTCAACCAATGCGCTGCGGCCAGGCTACAGTGCTCCAGTGTGACAAAGTGTGTGGTGCTGTACTCAACTGTGCTGAACATACCTGCACACAGGTGTGCCACAGTGGGGCATGTCAGCCTTGCCAGCTGCAGGTTCAGCAGGGTGAGTCTCACTTTGACAGTCACCTTGTGTAACATTGTGACTGATGAAATGCATCCTGAAGTGGCGTTTCCCGTAGCAACTTTCACCTTTTGTAAGAATAAATAACCGTAGTTCCGTCTTGGAAACAACTGATTACAACTTTCCACCTTGATCTGATTTTCTATAGTTTGCTTCTGTGGAGTTACAACTCGTAAAGCTCTGTGTGGAACAGATAAAGAAGGATTTGACGGTTCGGGACATTTCTCCTGTCAGAAAACATGTGGAAAGTGAGTATGATGACACAGCGCTAATGACGTCCTTCCTCCATTTATTCTAAAGCTCTTATTTCACATTGACGGTTCCACACATAGCTCGACACTGTATTTTCTTTCTTTTCCTGTGCAGGATGTTGGACTGTGAAGCCCACCAGTGTCAGCTGGTGTGCCACCGCGGTCCATGCCAGCCGTGCCCACGCTCCCCGACCCTGGTGAAGACTTGTCCCTGCGGTCAGACACGGCTGGCCAAACTCCTGGAACTGGGTTACTCAGAACGACTAAGCTGCTCTGATCCCATCCCTTCCTGTGGAAAGACGTGCAACAAACCCCTGGCCTGTGGATCCAGCGGTAAGACAAAGGGACAAGATGTGTCTCAAGTAGAGAAAGTTTTATTCAAAAGATGGACACACTAACAAAAGATCTGCAAACACGATATGAAAACCTGTGACAGATCTTAAGAGTAAAACTGAAGGCAGCACACAGATGCAACGCGTTCTCTATTGAAAACAGTCCTGTGCAGTTATATGTGACTGTGGCTCAGGTGGCAGAGCGGGTTGGCGGTTCGATCCCCAGCTCCTCCTGTTCACATGCCAAGACACTGAACCCCAAGTCGCCTCTCTCGTAAGTTACTTCAGATAAGAGCATCTGCTAAATGAGTCAATGTAAATATGGTGTTGATGGTTTGTTTGCACACAGGAATCTATTGAGCGTTTAAACTGGTAATGAAAAGCAGAGAAACCATCAAACCTCACAAGGTCCGGCTTTAAAGACTTGAGAAATGTAAAGATTTCATTCCTTTCCATCATGTCTTGTTGAACTGGAAGTTTTTATCTTGTTTACAACTGCATTTTTCCCAGCACACATTACACTGTCATGTGTTTTGCATTGACTCTGAATGTCTTTAGTTGTATGAACATGTAATCCTATTTGTGTATTTTCTAAATGATTTTTCTAAAAACTGATCCAGTTCCTGAAGACATTTACCTTGTGTAGTCTCTCTTTATTTTCCGTTGGCCTTAGTTTTTAAATTCTGAAACAAAGAAACTGATTTTAACTCCTGCTCAGGGGTCTTAAGTGTTCTGTGTGCAAACAGGATGTGCATTATCTTGAGCTTACAGTGTTCTCACAGTTTGTGAGTTAATGAACTTGTGTTGTTTCAGACACCATCCATCTGTGTGAGAATTTGTGCCATGAGGACAGCTGTGGGCCCTGCTCACTGACCTCTACTATCAGATGCAGATGTGGCTCCAAGACCAAGGTGGGCAAGAACATCTGTTTGCTGTATGTCTGCTGTTTGTGTCACTGTCATTTGTTTTGTTTAGTGTGTGACTCCAAAGATTTGAAAGGCATCTTTTTACAACAATCAGCCGGCAGCTCCAAGCTGCGGAAGGAATTCACTTGGAAAAAATATAGTCAGATCCTTCATTACTCTTCAGACTCAAAGTATCTATCATCTACACAACTGTGATACTGGAGGCTGTGTGGTGAGAAAAATACAGATCGGTCATGTATTCTGGGAATTTTTGAAATTAGGAAAGTATTGGGATGATGTATGGCTAGAACTGACGGTGATATTGGGCTTGGAATTACCAAAGACGTGTGGCACTATACTTAGGTAATCTGATACAAGAAAATATACAACATGAAGACAGATATCTATTAGACGACCAATAACTAAGGCATCATCAAAACCTTCAATTTTTGTGTTTCTGTAATAATAATAATTTGAAAAGCAATAAAATTTAAGTTTTAATAAAGAAGTCTCTTGTTTTTTAGGAGGTCCCATGTGCAACTATCCAGAAAGAAGGTGAGATTTAAGCACATTCAGATTAATTTAAACAGCGTGAGAACCCCTTCAGCCGACGTGACAAATTTTCCTTTCTGACTCTTTCTGTTCCAGACGAGCTCATCTTCACCTGCGAGAGGCGCTGCAACAAGAAACGCTCCTGTGGCCGACACAAGTGTGGCGAGCTGTGTTGTGTGGTGAGTGATTAGTTTGCACTGTTTAAAATCAAGCACACCTTGTCCAGTTCTGAATAAATTGATGAAAGTGATAAAAGCTAAGACCCCATCAGTGTTTTAATAGTGACAAACTCAGGTTTTTTTTGTTTTGTTTTTTTTTACTACTGAAAATGTGGGAAACAAACTGTAAAGCTGTGTCCCAAAAACATCTGTGCTTTATTTCTACTAAAAGCACTGCAGTCTCGTTAATTTGACTTGAGTTGAACTAGTTTTGTCACTTTTAGTAGAAGTATGAGAGTTCCATTATTTTTATGTGAAAGTTTTATGGAGTACATTCTGGTTGTTGTAGGATTTTTGTCCTTTAGAGCCAGTCAGGAATACAACCGTCTTTTCCTGTTTTCTCTGTTCATAGGGCGAATTTTAAAAAACTAACTGCAACTTGTTTCATTTCATATAAGAGCCAGACTATAGCTTGCTCCAAATTTTCTTCTTTTTTTTAGTTATTCCTCCTTGCACCATCTGTAGCCACCATCACAGTCTGTGCAAATCATTTTCGATTATTAGGACGGCACCAAACCATATGAGGTGTTGTCACTGGTTTCTGTCTGTGTCCATCCAGATTGTGGAGCACAAGTGCTCCCTGATCTGCGGCTACAAGCTCAACTGTGGCCTCCACCGCTGCCAGGAGCCTTGTCACCGTGGAAACTGTGAACCCTGCTGGCAGTCCAGTGAGTCCCGCAGACATTTTATCCAATCCAACAGTATTTATAAGCCAAGTCTCAGAAGTACCACAGAGTTATTCTGTCATTCAAAAACAACTAATTTGAGGTTTTTACATCATCTTTTGTTTGGTTTTCTTTCCCCCTTTGTGGTTTTATGTTTGGGATTAATATGTCATGATGTAGCGACGCAGCTGACAACCAGTGTGCCATGATTCCCTCTGTTTGTAGGTTTTGATGAGCTGACGTGTCACTGTGGGCTCACTGTATTGTACCCGCCCATCCCCTGTGGCACCAAGCCACCAGAGTGCAAAAGCCTGTGTACAAGACGACACGAGTGTGACCACCCAGGTACAATATAACAACAACTGTTCACACTGTTGTTATAAACTGGAAAATAAGAGTGTTTTATTTTAACATTTGCCTCTCATTTAGTGTTTCACAACTGCCACAGCGAAGAGAAGTGTCCACCCTGCACGTACCTCACTCAGAAGTGGTGCATGGGGAAGCACGAGGTAACTTCCCCTGAGCTGACAATGTTTAATCACTTGTTTTCTGTTTCTTTTCCCCGGGAGTAAAGTGACACTGTCTTCTTTGACCCACAGCAACGCAGCAACATCCCATGTCATCTGCAAGACATTTCTTGTGGCCTGGCATGCAACAAATCACTGCCATGTGAAATGCACCGCTGCAGACGGATTTGCCACCGGGGCGATTGCTTGGCAGAAGGCAGCTGCCAGCAGCCATGCATCCTGCCGCGTCCAGACTGTGGCCACCCGTGCTCTGTCCCCTGTCATAAAGGCAGCAGCTGCCCACGCACCACCTGCACTGCCAAGGTACAAAACACTACCACAGAGAACAGCTGGACTTCCAGTGGGTTACAAAGTTTGTGCAGATGGTCTTTGTTATGTCGAGGGCTGGCGTTGAGGCATATTTTCCCACCATCAAACGTTTCTCCTCAGTATAATAAGTTATTACCCTGGTGAAAACGTTTTTTAGTGAATAAATCCAGTTTTATGAATGTGTCACATCTCCTTAATGATTTGAAGGTTATGTTCAACAGCACAGCTGCGGATTCACTCTGTTCCTTTTTAGCTATATGTAGGCTAGTAGCAGTTGATGACAACTGCTGTAATAGTATGAAACTGCCATAAACAGTTAAGTTGGATGAAATAAAAACATGTCAGTGGCAGTCCTCCAAATTCAAGAGCTCAACAAACAATGAGACCTTTCACAGCTGCTGCAGCTCCTCACATGAGCAGTGTCAAACTTTCAAAAAAGCAACATATGCGTCTGCTTAGAAAAACCATTTGCATCAGACTGAAGCCAAATCCCTCATGTTTTTGGCACATGTAGGATAGTCTAATTGTTCCTAATTTTCACAGGTAGCTCTACAGTGTGATTGTGGTCGACGGAAGGAAATGGTCGTCTGCACGGAAGCAGCCAGCTCATATCAGAGGTCAGTTCAACTGTTTCTGTATTTAGCTGTTTGAATTTTGAATATGAAGTGGTTGAAACATCTTTTACTCTCTGTACTGCAGGTATGCAGCCATCGCCATGGCCAGTAAACTGTCTGACATGCAGCTCGGCGACTCCATGGACATTGGCCCGTTCCTCACTAAGAAGGAGCTGAAACAAACCAGGTAGAGTAATGTTGTGTGAAAGATTTAGAGAGACAAATGATCCAAGCAACAACCCATTAAAGGCCATCCATAGAAATGGATTTCTCATGCTCACCATGACCAAAGACCTATTATTTCTGCATTAATATTTAAATCAATTGATCAGAGGTTTGCAGTTAATGGGTTACATCAGCTTCAAGCTTGACTCAGCCAATCAGGACGATCTGTTTTTATAAGAGATTTTATTTTAATTCAAACAAATAATGTGTGAACAGCACCCATCCTAATGTTGTGATGCAGACCCTGAGTGTATGTTTCTTCAAATGTTTCTCAGGCTTGAATGTGACCAAGAGTGCGCTACTTTGGAGAGGAACAGGCGCTTGGCTGAGGCGTTACAGATAGACTCGTCGTCTGACCCCTTCAACATCCGCTCCACCTCCGTATACAGCGACAGCCTGAAAGAGGACGCCAGGTCTGTCTTTGACACTTCCATGATCTTAGAAAACTGGTTGTCATCATTGGCTTTTATTTTCTGTGTCGTTTTGTCCTCACAGCCAAGAAAATGCAGATGAAACCCTCCTCAGCTTTCTTTTCCTTCTTGTTTCTTTCAGAAAAGATCTGAAGTTTGTCACAGAGGTAGAAGAGGAGATCAAGAATCTTGTTGAGCTTGTCAATAAGGTGAGATGTTACAGTGAATCCTGTACGACCTGTGATGTGATGCTCCCTCTGGTGGCTGCGTTGAGAGCCCACGAATAAGACAAAACATAATTCAAACTGAACTTCTAATACAACAGGATTCACAGAGAATCAGTGCAGTAAACTCTTCATGAGCACTAAATGACATGGCATAGAAGGTTTTCAAGCACAATTTGCTGAAAGATGCCGAAGCCTACTCTGCCCATCTGAGGCATCATTTGCTTTAATATATTACTTCCTTTCTTACTGCGGACATTAATACATGAATCTAAACCCACAGCTTACCTCAGTGTCATATTATTTTCTGACCCAGTTGTTTTATATTCAGCTATTTTTGAGCTCGGTCAATTCTCCAGTGGACCTCCGACATGGAACCGGCTGTGGTTGCCTGTAGATTTCTGACAGTGCAGTGAAACCTCTTTAGTAACTGTTTCTAAGCCAGGCTAAATTAGTAGGTACCTCGTGGGGCAGCTAGAAAAATAGTCTTCGTGTTCTTTTTCCAGCTTTGTTCGATGCATTGAGGCAATCAGGAGTGAGGTCACCATGGTCACTGTTGCTTTGGCTTCTTTGACAAATATAAAAGATTGTTTATCACCACCTGAATCTCTGTTTGGAATGTTGTATCATGGGTGCAAGGCTTTACTGCCTTGGATTCTGCTTATGAAAGGTTTTATCTTCTCACGTATTGAATTTGCTGCAGACCGTGCTGCCTTTACCGATTTCATTTTCTTCTTGTGTGGGTTAACATTCCCAAAAATGAGGTTATTAAATCAACTCTGTCGAAATTTTGCTGTAGTACTTTCTAACTGGTTTCTGGCAAAGAAGGTGGACCTGTTTTATGCCAGCTGTTTTCCAACTTTTTCCTTTGTTAACATACTACTATAAAAAGTCGGGTCAAACATGCTCAGTGACCCTGTCTTCAGAAATTAGGCCACACTTACGCTACATACCCAAAAACACTCTGCAAGCATCCACACTTGTGGAAAGGCTTTTCCACAAGATTTTGGAACATGGCTGCAGGGATCTGCTCCAATTCAGCCACAAGAATATTAGTGAGGTTGGACGCTGATGTTGGGTGATGAGACCCAGCACGCAGTCTGCTCTCCGCTTCATCCTGAAGGTGTTGGATGGGGTTCAGGATGGGGTTCAGGTCAGGACTCTGTGGAGGGCCAGTCGGGTTCTTCAACAGCAAACTGGGGGGAAAAAGCATTTATTTATGGACCTGGTTTTGTGCACAGGGAGATTTTGTGTTGACACAGAAAAGAGGGCTTTCTCCAAACTGTTGCCACAAAGTTGGAAGCACACTGTAGTCTACAATGTCCCTGTGTGTTGTTGCATTAAGATTTTTCCCTTGTTGGAGTTGAGGGTTTCAGCCTAAACCAGACCTAAATGCACAAACGTGTGTGCACGGGGATATAGGCAAAGTTGAAGCAAACAAAACATCAACGAAACATGCTTTCTGACTTGTGAACCCTTATTTCTACCTGTTGTCACAGGTTGTGTGTCTATAACCATATATTCATTCATTTGAATACTTTTTTTAGAGGTTTAAGAAAAGGAAATTATGATTTAATTCACAAGAAAAGAGCAGCAGCTGGAAGGAACTCTTGATACGATAAATCAGTTTTAGCATTTTCTCTTTCATATCCTATTAATCATCTTGTAAAACCATCAGATGTGCTGTGTACACTGGCCAATGATGACATCTGTTGCTTTGCTAGGTTAATTTCTGGCAGTTCAGCTCACCATGAAAGCTGTCGTTTTCCATTAGAACTGCATACATGTCGACAAAATTAACACTAATTCCGCAAGTAAATGTCTGTGGAGAGCAGAGGGATGCAGGTGAGTGAACCTTGGAAATGCTTCCGAGTATGAATCCCTACTTGACATGCGTTACTGATGTCTGCAGGGAAAACTGGCAAAGAGAAGCCACTGTTTCCCGCCCATGAACAGAGAACACCGGAAGATCATCCACGAGCTGGCCGAGGTCTACGGCGTGGAGAGCGTGAGCTACGACAGCGAGCCCAAACGCAACGTGGTCATCACAGCCCACAAGTAACAGCTTTTACAGGAATACAGGAATATCTATGCTGAGGCAGAAATTAAAAAAAAAAAAAAAAAGTAAAAAGTGTTGACTGTGGATTTGAGGATGTGCCTGTGTATCTCCTGATAACGTCCAGGGGGAAGTCGGCCTGTCCAAACTCAACCCTGACATCACTGATAGAGAGAGAGACAGCTGCAAGAGCCCCGCCTCCCATCGCTCATATCAAACAGCACAGTAGCAAGTGAGTCTTCCTCCGAGGTTAATCCTTAGTCCTTAAGAATCACACTGAACTCTTGCCTCCTCAATCATTCAAAGTTTCTCTGGATAAAGATTAATTAATAACTCATATGCAGCTGTCTGTCCTTGCATCTTGATTCTTTTATTTCTGTCTTGTCTAGTGTTTCAAATTTTCCTGCCCTCTTTTGACTCATTTCCTTCTCGATTCTCCGCTAGGGTTGCCAGTGGGAGCACCTGGTCGAAGATGGTTAAAGAAGAGCCTGTGATAGATTATTTTGATGTCCAGGACTAATATGATGCCAGACATCAAAGAGGAAACCTTGCTCGGCCTTGCAGGATCTGCTCAGAAGCATCACTGATCATCTGCCAAAAAAAGTCTCAATAATCTTTCTCATTTGTGCTCATCAATGTTCAATAAGAATTTCCCTGGCTTCATAATCAAATAAAATTATCTTGGAGAATAGGAAAACCCCACACTTGGTAAATCTGGGGAGGAGGAATCGAAATGGTGCTGAGTGAAGTCTTCCTCGTGAATTTAGATATTGAAGTCAATGTAAACTTGCTCAGATTCTGAAGATGGAATGTTTCTGAAAAGCTCCTGAGTGTTTTCTTTGCCTCCCCCGTCTGCAGCCGCTCCCTCATTGAAGCCGGTTTAATAAAAAGTGAATTCTTCCTCATTTAAAGGACACAATTGTTGATATCCATTTAATGCATCAGCTTCAAAATCCAATCACTCCTCATAAAAATAGATCATATCTCAACAGTAGGTGCTTCTTCCAATTGAGCTCTCTCTCTTTTTTTCTTTTTGAGATGCTCCAACAATATGCCAAGTAATTTTTTAGCCATGGGGTATCTTGTGTTTTTCCTGCTGGTGTTGAGCCAAGGCTTCAGTAGTAAACCTCTGATGATGGAGTTTGTGGGTAGGTATGAGTGGGCTGCACTGCGGAAAGAAAGTTTTGTTTGAAACACAGCTATGACCCAGATGTGCTGCTGCATTTTCTGAAAACTGTTCCTTAGTCAAACAAGGAATTTTGAGGTCAGGCTCGGCAGATAGAGATTCATGTCTTGCTCGAGGACACTTGAACAGGGAGGACATTGGTCAGCTTGACACTCCTGACAGATTTTCTCGAACTGATGGTCCCTTTCAGTCAGGTTAGAGTTTTGATGCCAGCTCAGACTTGAGTCACAGCACAAAAACAGCATATTTTATTCAAATGTGACTCAGATTTTCCTCTTATATTTTTCTTTTTATTAAGGCAGCAGCAACAGTCTTCTATATGGCAAAATATTTCAAGAGACTTCATACAATGGCGACGAGTAGAGCCTGTTCCATTTTACTTTTATGCATCACTCATGAAAATTGTGAACTGGATTAACTTTGCAGATACAGACATATAGCGCTGCAACGATAGATTGATAAACCGATCAACAAAAAATGAATCTGCAACTTTGATAACTCATTAATTGTTTTAGTAATTCTTAAAGCCAAAATACAAACATGCTGTTTAGGATTTAAGTTTTCTTTGTCATATATGAAACATAAACTGAACATTTTTGCAGAATAGTAGAGTACCCTTGGGCTTTGGGAAATTTTGATAGGCCTTTTTACACTGTTCTCTGACATTTCATAGATAACACAATTGATGATCCAGAAAATAATTGGCAGACTAGTCATAAATGGAAAATAGCTGTTAGTTGAAGTCCTTAGATCAATCTAGGAAATAAAAGCAAACTTAAGGCTGAGTGAATAACAAACTGTATGCACTAATATTATAGAATTATAAATGCTTAGTAAGTTGTTAACAAAGGGGTTTTGAAGCAACCGTTTTCCAGAAGGTAAGTGGCCATACGGTCCAACCAGCCAACGGAATTTTATACAATCTGGCAACCATAAATCGGCCTTATTAATGGCTTATAACTTCTCTACAAAGCATCAATAAATGATTAATTCAAAGATTTGCAGTTACAACTCTAAAAGCCCTTATAAAGAGTGCCTTATTAAAAAGCGGTTCACTTTTGGTTAGGGGGCTGATGGTAAACAGGTTTTATTCAATGCACCATTGTGGCATAATGTCCTAAAAAAAGAAAAAGCTCTGCTCATATTTTTACAACCATTGCTGGAGGCAGATTAGCGTGTTGTCAACATTTCAAATCTTCCATCGGACAGTAGCCTCCAAAATCCGCTCATGAGGATAATTTGATGACACTCCCTGCCTCTGGTAATTTTTCATTATATCGACTCTCCAGCAGAGACCGCGCCTGCGCTCCTGCTCCCTTCCGAACAAGGCTTCACCAATCCTGGCTCTGGCTCCATCCCCGGCTCGGCGTCCCACAGGCCAGCGCTAATAAGTCGCCTAGCTGTCCAGTAATGGGGAAGTGATAGGGAGACGCTGCTGTCTGAAAGCCGTGAGGAAGTTGAGGAGTGAAGGGAAGCTCCGCGCCGCGCCGGACCGGACAGCTCCAGAGAGACACATCCTACAGTTGCTGTTGTTGAGTAGCCTAAAAAGCGCATAGTGATGGAGAGAAAGGTATGGATGCTTATGCTACCTTGTGATACATTAGCACATTTGTTTTATTCCACACCACTTTGCCTCGCTGAGTCTGCGCCGCTCAGGATCCGCATCCACCATTAAAACTATTCTTTATATATTTTCTTCATGCTGTAGGCGCTTTGCCAGCCGGATTAGTGCGCGCCGGAGTTTTTTTTTTCTCATCTAGCTGAAATTTATTGTGCATCTAAAAAAAAAAAAAAAAAAAAAAAAAAAAAAAAGAGCAGCTGCTAGGATTCATTTCCACCTCGTGTTGTATTTAGGCTTATTCCGTTATTCCGAGGGGCACAGCGGCATGGTGCACAATGTATTAGAGGATATTGAGCAGGGAGTGGGGTTGTGGTTGAGAATATTTAAGGGGACTGTAGGCTACAGTAGCTCTCTCTCCCTCTCTCTCTCTCTCCCTCTCTCTCTCTCTCTCTCTCTCTTAGCCTGTCTGCATCATCACACAGCACACTGTATAGTTGCAGCACCTCACCCCGCCACCTCCACCTCCCACCCCTCCCCGTTTTCCAGCCGACGCAGACACCAGCGCGGCTTGTTAACCTTGACTGGTGTGGGAAACAGACACTTGAGGAGCGGCGGAGGGGATACGCGGTGAAGCCCTGACGAGTGCGGACCATCCTCTTGCTTCGTCTTTACGCATGCCTTTAATTCATTTCTCCTCACCCCCCTCCCCCCCCTCCCCAACCCACCTACCCCCACCCCTCCTTCCTCTAACCTCCATCCCTCCCTCCCTCCCCCGCTTTGATTCAGGGCGCGCACACAATAATGTAATGGTGCTTCATTTTGGGCTCTTGGTGCCCCATGAGTCTGTAAGTGTGTTTTGGATCCTGCAGGAAAAGTTTCAGTTTCACTGTGTTAATCTGCTGGCAGGCTGTGGGTGCACACAGCAGCGGGAGAGGAATTTGGGGTGTACAGTTGAAGCCAGATCTACTTTTGCTGATCCAGAGGAAAATCTAATTTTTACATTCAAGCATAGCCTGTAACATATTCACTTCAGCTGGAGCGAAATCTGCTATTTGACTGTTTATAGAGAATTAAAGCCCATGGAGAGACGCCACTAAACTCTGTATTACAGAACTAGTCTGGCATTTTGGGTTTTTGTTTTTTTGACTTTCTTGCAGGGTTACATGAGAAGATTGATACCACCCTTATGTCTGTTAAATATTAAGCTATAGCCAGCAGCTCGCTAGCTTAGCGTAGCTTATCTTATTTTAGCATAAAGACACATACAGACTGGAAATAAGGGATTGCTCCTCTGGTGATAACCTCTACATCTCAAGTTATTGTATTTGTTTACTCAGTACAAAAACCAAGGTGTAAAAACAACACGTTTTGTGTTGAACGGTTTCTGGTCTGGCCACGCTAGCTGTTTCCACTCGCTTCTAGTCTTTCAACTAAGCTAACTAGCTGCTAGCTCAAGAAAAGACAGCTATGACTTCAGGTCTGTATGCTAAATATGGCAGGCTAGCTTTTACCCCGTTTCCTGTCTTAATGCTAAGCTAAGTAGCTACTAGCTACAGAGTGGTGTCAGTCTTCTCATCTAGCTAACCGTCGGCAAGAGAAATAAAAAGAGTATTTTCCCAAAATGTCTAGTTATTTTTATAGCGTTGTAGTGACAATACTAGCGCATAATGGCTCTATACAAATATTTTAAAAGCAAGCCATTTTCATGTCTGTACACTAGTGCTAAACTACCTATTTACCTTAGCTTATTGTCTGGAAACAAGGGGACATAGCCTTAGCAAGAAATAGTCCAACCCATATAACCAATGTTGAATTTACACAATTTACAGTTTTTGTACATATTAGAAAAACAAGACATCACGTGTTAACTTGAGTTTTAGAGCGGCTGGTATTATGCAAAAAAAACCATAGAAATATCAAACTATTCCTTGAAAAATAGGCTGAATATTAGGCATTAACATTTAGTTTTTGACTTCATGCCCATGAATTATATGCAGGTTTTGTGACTGACTATTTTTCTTATATTACATTGTAATGGTTGAATATTATTCTGCCTCTCAAGGTCTTGCACCACTGTGAGTTCCTCTTCCTTAAATTTGTTTTTACTTTATTACATAAAGAAAATTACAACATTTTGTTATTTTGCTTATCATTTTTCACATTCTTGCTTCTGTGGATTGAAAGCACCGCAGAACTGTAAAACTAAAACCTTAAAACTTTCAGTCAGCATTTTTTTTGTTAGTTTGGTGTTTTGTTTGACAAAGCATTCATCGTCATATAATAGCCTAACTGTAAATGTGCCATCACTGAATTCATTGCACATTTTACAGGCTTCTCAGATCTCAGCCGGTCTCTTTCCTGTTTTGGTTTCATGTACAAAACTGTTGAGTTATGATGGACTTGGTGACTCAGCTGCGTGCTGATTTTCAAAGAGCACCATCAGGCACTCTAGTTTGATGATCTATATGGAAAGAAAAATACATACACAGGCATTTGGGTGCAATTAGTAAACAAAGAATATTGCATAACTCGTCTTATTGCAGAAAATCACTGCCTTTATGTTGTTTTTCCATGGGTTTAGTCTCTCAGGAGTGTTTCCGTCCATTTTTCCCCGTGCAAAGACTTTTTCCAGATAGGATATACATTAAATTTCCACACAATGGCATCAGAAAGTCCCACCTCCTCTGCTTTTTCCTCTCTGTTCAGTGCATTATAACTTGAATAGGAAGCTTGTGAGCTACTCTGAACTTGAGTTATTTTGTGCTTTCCTTTAAATTTAGGTGCTTTTTCAACTTCATCTTTGCTATAAAGGTGGTTGATCCTAGTCAGTGATACAGGCTCACTCTCTCTATGGAAAAAAATAGGACTAAAATAGCTAAATTTCAAACCCCAGTCTTCCCTGACCCAGCTGCTGGCACAAAAGGAGAACAGTCCCATTAGTATGCAAGGTGCCGTCACAGCTCCTGAGGTCTGATAGAGGATCAGAGGATCAGCTCCTTTTACAGTCTGCTGAATGCTTGACCTGGCTTTTTAAGGAAAGCCACACAGGATCCCCTCCCCTTCTCACACACACACACACACACACACACACACACACACACACACACAGATATACACCCCGGTCACACTGTGCAGTCATGTT